ATTAATTTATGCTTATTAAAGGGAGTAAACTTTTTTGTGAAGAATTAAGCCATATCTAGAATTTGCTTTTTATTTTTCAAATTCCCTTTTTTCATGATATCTTTTTGTTGCTTTAAGGATTATACTTCCTTCCTTTATTTGAATATTTCAGCATACTTACATTTTCTCAGAACTTTAAAAATTTTGTTTACTTACTTTGGTGGTAGATACCTTCATGTTGTTTGTAGTCTTTCTTATTTATTTACTTATTTATTGGAAAGGCAGATTTATAGAGAGAAGGAGAGACAAGGATCTTTCATCCGCTGGTGTACTGCCCAAGTGGCCGCAATGGCTGGAGCTGAGCCTATCCAATACCAGGAGCCTCTTCCGGGTCTCCCACGTGGATGCAGGATCCTGAGGCTTTCGGCCATCCTCTGCTGCTCTCCCAGACCACAGGCAGGGAGCTGAATGGGAAGTGGAGGGATCCTGGTGCGTATAAGGCGAGGATTTTATTCACTGAGCTATTGTATCAGGCCCTGTACTATTTTTTTTTTTTAAAGATTCGTTTATTTTTGGCTCGGCAGCGTGGCCTAGTGGCTAAGGTCCCTTGCCTTGAACTTGCCAGGATCCCATATGGCTGCTGGTTCTAATCCTGGCAGCTCTACTTCCCATCCAGCTTTCTGCTTGTGGCCTGGGAAAGCAATTGAGGATGGCCCAAAGCCTTGGGACCCTGCACCCGTGTGGGAGACCCGGAAAGAGGTTCCTGGATCCCGGCTTCGGGTCGGCGCAGCACTGGCCATTGCTGTCACTTGGGGAGTGAATCATTGGACGGAAGATCTTCCTCTCTGTCTCTCCTTCTCTCTGTATATCTGACTTTGTAATAACAATAAATAGATAAAAAAGATTCATTTATTTTAAAGGATTGTGAGGTGGAGGGAAGTGGGGAGAGAGAGAGAGAGAATACGAATGAAGCACAACAGCAAGAGTCCTAAGCCAGGAGCCAGGAACTCCCATCTGCATCTCTCCGAAGGGTGGCAAGGTTGGCACCCTCCACGGATGCAGCAGGAAGCTTGATTGGATATAGAGTAGTTGGGACTTGAACCAGCACTCTGATAAAGTATGTAGGCTGGAAATGCTTTTTAAAATTTTTTGTGACAACTGTGACATCATTAAGGATAAGACTTGTTCTGTCTTTTTATCATATCCTAATTAGCTTGTTCCCTCCACTGCTAGCAGTGTCCCATGGTCACAGCACCACAGCCAGATCTGCTGGCTTTGTGACTGTAGAGAAGTTTCAGGTAGGAAACAGGAAGGCTAAGATGCAGTGTGTAAGCTTAGTTGAACTCTTCAACATGTTCTCCTGCAAACCTCAGTACAGACCTTAGGCTTAATTTTCATAATACTGTTTGTTACTTGTTAGGGAGACTAAAAATGTTATTAATGTTGTATTCATTGATAGATTGAGTGAAAAATAAGATCAGAATTTTTTTCAGCATAAAGGAAGAGTGACAATGGCTTGGGATTGGAGTGAACATTAGTTTGCCTTATGGGATCCTAGTGGGTACAAGGCAAGGATTTAGCCACTAGGCTATCCTGCTGGGCCTTGTTTTTCTTTCTTTAACATTTATTTTAACTGGGGCTGGTGCCATGGTTCAACTGGCTAATCCTCCATCTTCAAGCATTGGTATCTCATATGGGCAGCAGCTTGTGTCCCAGCTGCTCCTCTTCCCATCCAGCTCCTCCCTGCTTGTGGTCTGGGAAAGCAGTCAAGGATAGCCCAAGGTCTTGGGGCTCTAAACCCATGTGGAAGACCTGGCAGAGGCTCCTGGCTCCCAGCTTTGGATTGGTTCTGTTGTGGCAGTGGTAATCTCTTTGGGAGTGAGCCAGTGGATGGAAGATCTTTGTCTCTCCTCTCTCTGTAAATCTGCCTTTTCCAGTACTGCTGGGTGCAGTAGCTGGAGTGTGCTGATCTGAAGCCAGGAGCAGGAGTTCCAGTTGAGTCTCCCATGTTGGCATTGGACCGTATTTCACTGCTTTCTGGGGCACAATTAGCAGACAGCTGGTTGGGTTGTGAAACAGCTGGGGCTTGAGTTGGTGCCCGTATGGGAAGGTAGCACTGCATTGCAGCACCAAAATTTGTTTTCAGGTATATTTTACTTATGATTTGGAATTGCCAAGAAACCAGGACAGAGTGTCTGAGTTTTCAATTTAAACAAATTAGGAAGCAGTGTTGCGGCTTAGAGGTTTAAAACTTCTATTTGCAACTCGAATTCCAAACAAGTGGTGGTTTGAGTCCCAATTGCTCTGTATATTTTTTAATTATTATTATTCTTGTTATATGGTTTTATTTATTTATTTTAAAGTTAGAGTTATAGAGAGAGATGGAGGGTGGGAGAGACAGTGTGCCGGTGAGCCAGGAGCAGGTGAGACTGGGACAGAGATCTTCCATCTGCTGGTTCACTCCCCAAGTGGCTTTAGTTAGGTTATTTTCTGCTGCTTTTCCAGGACCATTAGCAGGGCCAGCTGCTTCACTTCTGGTTCAGCTCCCTGCTCATAAACCTGGGAAAGCAGCAGTGGATGGACCATGTTATTTACTTGGCCCTTGCCATCCATGCTGGAGACCCGGATGGAGTTGCAAGATCCTGGTTGCTGGCTTTGGATAAGTTCAGCTCTGGCCTTTGCGGCCACTTGGGAAGCGAAACAGTGGATGAAAGATGTTTCTCCTTTCCTTTCTGTAAATGTGTTTTTTCAATAAAAGTAAATAAATCTTTAAAACCATGCATACACACAAACCACTGTGCCCTTTAAATGGATAAATCTTAAAATAAAAAAAAAATTGGCATAGATAGCTTTCTTGGGCAAGTGTATGATGTCAGAATTGGTTAAGCCATGTTTTGGGAAGCTCACAACCCATATTGGAGTGCTAGGTTCAAGTCCTGGCCAATTCACTTTAGATTTAGCTTTCTGCTGATTTCCCAGGCCACAAGCAGGGAGCTGGATGGGAAGTGGAGCTGCTGGGTTAATTGGCTCCCATATGGGATTCTGGCATGTTCAAGGCAAGGACTTTAGCCGCTAGGCTATTGCGCTGGGCCCAGATATTCAGTTTTATTAGATGTTGTCTCCAGCATGTTAATATCACATTTTGATTAAATTAATAGAGCTCATTAATGTTTATTGCCATTATGGCTATGTAATGTTATTTATTTATTTTTAAAGATTATTTAGGGGACACTATTGTTAAGTCACTGCTTATGTTGCCGATATCTCATATGATTATTGGTTTGAATCCTGGCTGTTCCACCTTGGATCTGGCTCCCTGATAACCTGCCTGGAATGGCGGCTGAAGATGGCCCAAGTGCTGGATAGAGTGCCAGGCCTACAGCTAGGCTTAAACAAGCCCTGGTTATCATAGCCATTAGGAAAGTGAGTCAATGGAAGGTGATTTTCTTCCTGTCTCTTTCTTTGCCACTCTGTCTTTCAAGTAAATGAAAAAACGAGTAACTAATTTCAAAAGAAGAATGCTGGAACACATGTATTTTTTGTAAGATTTGTTTTTATTAGGCAAATACACAGAGAGAGATATATATAAACATCTTCCATCTGCTGGTTCACTCCCCAAGTGGCCTCAGCGGTTGGAGCTGAGCCAATCTGGAGCCAGGAGCCAGGAGCTTCTTCTGGGTCTCGCGTGTGGGTGCAGGGTCTCAAAGCCTTGGGCCGTCCTTGACTGCTTTCCTAGGTCACAAGCAGGGAGCTGAATGGGAAGTGGAGTAGGCAGGATATGAACTGGCGCACATATGGGATCCCCTCATGCAAGATGAGGACTTCAGCATTAGGCTCCTGTGCCAGGGCAACGGATGTGTTTTTCATCCTTTGGTTCACTCCCTGATTTCTTTCTCGTTTTGTCGAGGAACTTCATACGCATCTCCCATATGGATGGTAGAATTCCAAGTGCTTGAGCATCAGATGTTGCCTCCCAGGAGCATTGGCAAGAAGTTACATCTGAATTGCAGTTAAGATTTGTTTTTAGGCATTGCTATACAGGATGTGGACATCCCAAGGAGTGGCTTAACTTGCTGTGCCATGATCCCCAGAAATAATTTGTGTGAGCAAAATCAAAGTCAGAAACTTTTTTTCTGTATAGCAGCCAGGAGTGGGACTCCAAGGGAGGAAAAAACTCTCAAATTGTTAAGTTTTGTATGTTTGATAAAATTAGTGACTTTTGATATTAATTAATAATTAAGCTGAATATGAACTTATTGGTTGCTGGATCAGCAGTGGAGCAGATGGGTCTCAAACTGGCATTCATACGATATGCTGGTACCACAGGTGGAGAGTCAACCTACTATATTAGACCCATGGAGTTTCTTTTTAACTACCAAAATTTCATAGTTCTCTTTTGTTCTTTTTTGTATTTGTGACTTTATTCCCTTTTATCTCACTGTTATGATTTGATGTTTTAGGAAGGAGAGTTGTTTTTTTTTTTAAAAAAAGCATTTTTATTTGTATTACCTGAGAGGCAGAGAGACTTTTTTTTATTATTATTATTATTATTAGTTACAGTGCGTGATGTGACACAATTTCATAGGCTCTGGAATTCCCCCAACCCCTCCCCGTGCTGAGAGAGACATTTTATCCATTGGTTCTCAGTTGCCTGCAATAGCAGGGGCTGGGCTGAAGCTGAATTCAGGAGCTGGAAACACAACATTGATAATGATCCTCTAGTTACTTGAGTCATGATTCTGTGCTCCTAGAGTTGTAACAGAACCTAGCTACTCTGATATGAGATTTGTTTTTTAAATTATTATTGATTTTTATTGGAAAGGCAGATTTACAGATGGAGAAACATCTTCTGTCCTCTGGTTCACTCCCCAAATGGCTGCAATGGTTGGTGCTGAGCTGATCCAAACCTAGGAGCCAGGAACTTCTTCCCGATCTCCCTGCAGGTGCAGGGTCACAAGGCTTGGACCTCCCCACTCTGCTGCTTTCCCAGGCCACAAGCAGGGGAGCTGAATGGGAAGTGGAGCAGCCAGGACATGACCTGGTGCCCATATGGGATGTTGGAACATGGAGAGGGAGGATTAACCAATTGAGACATGTTGGTCGCAGAATATGGATTTCTTAACCAGTTAGTTTAAGTGCCTACTTCTAGAGGAAATAGTTTGTAAGTAGAGTTAACTATCTGTGCTTCTGAGGAAGTTTTCCCTGCCCCGGTTTTCTTCCACAAGTGTTTCTTTTAAAGGTTTATTTATTTGAAAAGCAGTGGCAGATCGTCCATCTGCTGATTGACTTCCTAATTGGCTATCACAGCTGTAACGTGGTCAGGAACTCCATTCGGGTCGCCACGGGCAGCAGGGTCCAAGCACTTGAGCTATCTATCATCTGCTGCTTTCTGGGCACAGGATCAGAGGCAGAGTAGCAGGGACTCACACTGGCATTCTGATGGGGGATATAGACGTCCTTGTTGTGGCTTAACCTGCTTATTGTAGTGCCTGGCTTCCTCCCAAGGTGTTATTTTGTTTGGTATTTTCTATTTTCAGTCTGTCCTTTTGACTTGATTTTTTCCCATTCTGCTCATAGACATTTTTGAATCTTCATGTGGATTCTGCCCCCTTTATATTTTCATCCTTTTTCCTTTTCCCTAGCAAACATCTTAGAAGAATAAAACCTCAGTTAATATCTCCACTTTTCCAGCTACCTTTTGTATTTTAGTCACTCAGTTATGCTTCATGATTGAGATAGAGCTTAGCTGTCATTATAACCAATAATATGTGAAATTGGCATTTGCTGTAGCGCTTTCATCATGGACATTGTCCACCTCGTTTTGTGTGCCTTAGCACACACTTCTGTGTTCAAGAAGTTTTTTTTTTTTTTTTTTAAGATCATTTTGGATCAGGAAAATTATTTCCCTTGAAAATTTCTGGTATGTTTCTTCCCTTTTTATATATTTATTAAACTCATTCTGGTTTTCTTTTTTCTGGGCTACCAGGTAGCCCAGATAAATCTGGCCTTAAGTAACTGCAGCTGTGTAAATCTTGCCACTAGTGTATTTGTTTCCTCATCCGCCTCCTGCTGAGTTTAGGACCTCACCTCTTATCTCTGTTTCTCTGCGTGTTGATTTCATTCTCTCATACTGCAGACTCTCTACTCCATGAGGCTGGAACCATGACTACCGGCAGCTCTTGACTCTCCTCTTCCCAGACCCTTCTACCAGAAGAAGGGTTGTCTTGAAGAATCCTGGGAAAGACTCTGATTGGCCTGTCTTGGATCATGTACCCATCATCCCTGTGGCTGGAGTGGGGAGGGTATGAATGGCAACCTTCAATAGAACTACATAGTTGGAGTCAGGGGTAAGAGCAGTTTCCCTAATGCAGGGGGGTGGGTGCTGTTTATGAAGAAGGGGCCTGCTTATGAAGCAGGTGACCAATGGGGTATCTATGTTTATATTCTATTTTGAATTTTTATAAGGCAGGCCCTTTATTGTAAGCTGCCTCAATTTCTTTTAGAAAAATTTTGACGATGTGGGTGTTGTGTGGTATAGCAAGTTAAGCTGCTGCTTACAAAATGTTGCATATTGGATATCTGGGTTTTTGTTTTCCTTCACTTCTGTGCACTTTGGGCTTTGGGAGTTACTGGGATGATGGCTCACATGCTTAAATCCCTGCCACCCACATGGGAGCTGTTGGTTTCGGCATGATCCTGCCTATTGTAATCATTTCGGGAGAAAATTAGCAGGTAGAACATTTCCTCCTTTGTTTTCTCCTCCCCTCCTTTCCTAGATTTATTGACAAGAAAAAGGAGAAATATTTATTTATTTTTATTTGAAAGGCAGATTTACAGAGCAGGAGAGACAGATCTTCCTTCTGCTGATTCCCTCTACAAATGGCTGCAGTGGCTAAAGCTGAGCTGATCCTGAGCCAGGAACTTTTAAATAAAAATAAACAAATATAAAAACACTGCTAAAAAAAAAAAGTAATAGTAGGGCCTGGCGCTGTAGTCTCATCGCTAAAGTCCTTGCCTTGTATTCCCTGGGGTCCCATATGATTGCTAGTTGGTGTTCTGGCTGCTCTATTTCCCATCCAGCTCCCTGCCTGTGGCCTGGGAAAGCAGTGGAGGATGGCCCAAAGCCTCGGAACCCTCTGCTTACATGTGAGACCAGGAAGGGGCTCCTGAAACCTGGCTAGGATTAGCTCGGCTCTGGCTGTCACGGCCAGTTGGGGAGTGAACTAGTGGATGGAAGATCTTCCTCTCTGTCTCTCCTTCTCTGTATAACTGCCTTTTCAATAAACAAACAAACGAACAACAAACTTTTAAAAAAAATGAAGCAGTAGTATATTCACTTCTGGGGAAAGCTGGATTGAATTCCTCTCTCAAAGAAATATTTGTTCTCATTTGAAAGGCAGATTTTACAGAGAGAGGGGGTCTTGAACCAGTACCCACATGGGATGCTGGTGCTCCAGGCAGAGTGTCTGTTTGCTTCACCGCTGTATCTGCTTTACCACAGTGCCAGACACCAGCTTTTACACTTTAGGTGTGGTGCTATCTTGTGGTGGTTTTACCTGACAGTTCCTGGATTGTAGCTGGGAGTGAGATCCTTTTTGTGGATTTATGTAGATCATTAGGTTTTTCATACTTGTAACGTGTAATGGCTTCTGCTTGTTTGTGGTTTATCTTCTTTTTTTTTTTTTTTGCTTTAATGGTTTTAATGAAAACTAGTTAAATGTAGGCAAAGTTTTTCTTTTTAGTATTTTATTTGAATTGTTAAAATTTGAAATTTTTTATGTTTTTATACTAACAAAATCAGTTTTTTCTCATTTTACATATAGATGTGCAAACCACGTGGGTTTATTTTGTATATAGAGTGGAATGGGTAAACGTATGTATATACATTTTTAAATAGAAAAATCTTGTTAAGATTAATTTTAATTTACTTTTTATTTTTTATTTTGTTTACATAATTGAGAGGAAATGCATGCCCCTGTGGGCCTTCAGTTAGGGTGGGAGGGTGAAGGTATGGAGGAAGGTGGGTGGGACAAATGTTCCAATTTTTTTCCCTCCTGTTTCTGCAGGAGGGAGGGAAGAGGGGAAGGGGGATTACTCCTTGCTGTCAAACTCTGTCAGTAACTGGGGATGGGGGGCAGTCGTTTGATGTTCTCTCAAGCGACCCCAGTGTGGGGAAACATGTTCTGATGGTTTTACTTGAATGGTTTTGATAGTTCTGAGAGACTGTTGGCTTTGTTGCACCAGGGTTGAGAAAAGTTTCTGAGGTTTATTCACTGACAAAGTCCGCCTTAGTGCATCCCCAGGCCTAGTGTACCCTAGGAGAGCCCAGCCCAGCCCAGGCCAACCCAATCCAACTTGCCACAGGTAGGTCTTGACACACATTAGCAAGTACTATGGCCTAATTGGGGTGACCCTGAATAATTCCCTCCAGGCCTGTACCTTGTCTCAGTTTTCATATGTTCTAGCATGTACTGTTGCCTAGTTGGATTTGTCTTACATCTCATCTGGCTGTTGTGCACAACTATGGGTGCTAGAGCTTAGCTCAGTCTGACTTGCCCCCAGACTAGGCCCACACTACACCAGTGGCTGCTGCTGCCAGACCAGCCTGGCTCCCCCACATCTCTGGCTCTCATGCTCACCAGTAGGAGCTGCAGACTAGCAGAGGAATGCCCTCAGTTCCCCTACCAGGCCCACCCACAGTCCCTGATCTTGTGTGGGATTGATTTGGGTTGTGGCCAAGCCTGACAAGGTCTGTCCCCCGTCCTGGAACTCACTGGTGGCTATTGTGGTCTAGCCCGACTGTCCTGTACCCATTCTGGCTTTTGTCAGTGGATGTTACATCCTATCCCAGCCTGGTCTACTCCCAGACCCAGCTCTCATGTGACCTGGTGGGTGCTGTGTACTAGCCTGGCCTGTCACACTCATTCTGGCTCTTATAGCACCAGTGTGTGCTGGGGCCTAGCCCCAAACCCAGCCCATAAGCATTCAGGTTGTTGCAGCCTTTCCTGACCTGATCTGCCTCCAGCTCTGGTTGCTGCACTCACATGGGAGCTGCAGTATAACAGTGGAGTCCTCAGTTTGTTCCCAGGTCTGGATCTTGTTTTTGTTTTTTTTTTTAAAGATTTATTTTTATTATTTTTTCATTGGAAAGGCGGATATACAGAGGGGAGAGACAGAGAGGAAGATCTTCCGTCTGATGATTCACTCCCCAAGTGAGCGCAACGGGCCGATGCTATGCCGATCCGAAGCCAGGAGCCTCTTCTGGGTCTCCCACGTGGGTGCAGGTTCCCAAACCTTTGGGCCGTCCTCCACTGCTTTCCCGGGCCACAGGCAGGGAGCTGAAAGGGAAGCGGGGCTGCCGGGATTAGAACCGGCGCCCATATGGGATCCCGGGCGTGCAAGGCGAGGACCTTAACCACTTGCGCCACCGCGCCGGGCCCCTAGGTCTGGATCTTATATGTGCTGTCAGTATCATAATTTAAAAAATACTTAGGGCCCAGCACAGTATCATAGTGGCTAAGGTTCTCGCCGTGATCACATGTGGGTACCAGTTTGTGTCCTGGCAACCCCACTTTGCATCCAGCTCCCTGCTTGTGGCCTGGGAAAGCAGTTAAGGATGGCCCAATGCCTTGGGACCCTGCACCTGCATGGGAGACCCGGAAGAGGCTCCTGTCTTCTGATCAGCGCAGCTTCAGCCATTGTGAACACTTGGGGAGTGAATCATCAGACGGAAGATCTTCCTCTCTGTCTCTCCTCCCCTCTGTGTATCTGCTTTTCCAATGAAAAAATAATAAAAATAAATCTTTAAAAAAAAAATAAAAAAATACTTAAATTTTATGACTGTGGATATGAAATATTTCATACAATTAGCCCTCCCATCTTTTCTTTTAAAATTTTTAGGTGCTTTGTCCCCAACTCAATTATGCTGTTCTATAAAAATATCTTATTTTGTTTGGCTTTGCATTAATTGTATACATTTGGCAGGAATGCATCTCTTTACAGTTTTAAATCTTCCAGTCTGGTGCCAGCGCAATGGCTAATTGGCTAATCTGCTTGTAAGCTTTGGGAACCCAAATGGGTGCTGGTTTATGTCCCGGCTGCTCCACTTCCCATCCAGCTCTCTGTTTCTAATCTAGGAAGCAGTGGAAAATGGCCCAAACCTGTGACATCCTTTGCCTGTGTGGAAGACCTGGAGGAGGTTTGTGACTCCTAGTTTTGGATCAGCTGAGCTCTGGCCATGGCTGCCATCTAGGTAGTGAGGCCATGGAAGATCTGTCTGTCTCCTTCTCTGTAGGTCTGCCTTTCCAATAAAAATACATAAACTTACAAAACTCTTTCCATTACATGAATATGATGGTAATTTCTATAATTACTAGATTAGATTTTCCTTCTTTGTTATGATAAATATGAAATTTATCATTTTAACCATTTTTAGGTTTCAATTTAATGACATTAAGTACTTTTGCAATATTTTGTAACCATCACTAGTTTATTACCAAAAGTTTGTCATCATTCCATATAGAAATTCTGTATCCTTGGTGTAATAATTCTCAATTTTACCCTCCTCTCTCTCTCTGGTAATGTCTATTTTCCATCCCTAGAATTTACCTATTTTAAAGAACTCATATACGTGGAATTGTTCCTCTTTGTAGTTTATTTCACATGACAGTGTTTTCATCCAGGGATCTGCCTCTGATGTAGTGGTTAGGGGGCTGCTTGCTTCTGATTGTCCTATCCCATATCCAGGGACCTGAGTTTGAATCTTGACTCTGATTCTGGTTGCAGCTTCCTGTTAATGTCACCATGGGAAGCAACAGGTGATGGCTCAAGTATTTGGGCCCCTGACACCCAAGTGTGAGACCTAGATTGGTTGTAGGCTCTTAACATCTCCCTGGTCTTGTTCCAGCTATTTTTGGCATTTGAGGTGAGTGAAGAGGAATGGAAAATTTGTTTCTGTCTTTTTGTCTCTGTCTTTCAATAAGATGTAAATAAACATTTCTAAATTTGGGTCATGTCTTATTTTTTTTCCTCTTTATAACCGTAGTATATTCCATTAGATGTATACCCCTCATCTTGCTTACCTGTTTGTGGATGGAAGCTTGGACTGTTGGGAGTTTCAGAGTTATAGAGAGGGAGCAAGGGAGTGGCAGATACAGTGAGAGACAGAGAAAGATCGTCATCCACTTGTTCATTCCCCAAATAGTGGCCAGAGCTGGGCTGATTGAAAGCTGAGTCCAGCAACTTGTTCTAGATTTCCCATGTGGGTGCAGGGTCCAGCCAGTGTATTCCAGATCTCCCATGTGGGTGCAGGGTCCATTCTTTGGTGCTTTCCCAGGCCATTATTAGG